TTTCACACGGGAAGCTTCAGGAGATTTAACAACAGAAATAGGAAGCTCACCCACTACCCGTCCTAGAAGCATTTTTTGACAGTGCAAAGCAGGCAAAAGGGAAAAGAGAAGAAAGTGTGTGGACAGAGATAGCTCAGAGCCTTGATTTTCAAAATGTAGGACTTAAGGGCGATGTTTGCTTTTCTAAGTGTTTCTTGCCCCTACATCTTTTAGAGATCCAAAGTACACCAAATGAAACTTGTTAATAGCTGTGGTGCTGTGCTGGTTGAAAAACCAACTTCTGCCATCCCTGTCAGGTAGCTGGCTGGCCCCGGGGCTCACACAAGCAGGAGATTCCCAAAGCGAGGAGGAATCTGCATGATCTGAGCTTCCAGCTACCCCTCCCTCCCCAGGAGGAATTAAATAACTTAGTGTGTGATTGAAACAGATCTCCTCTGAAATCACACCCTAAGCTCACGTTAAATTGAGTTGTGGTTTGCAGGAGGTATTTCTAAGCTTGCTTTCCATGTCTCATACTATTCTACTCAGGGTGTTAAAATTAAGGAGCAGAAGTTGGGAGGGGAAAAATAACTTCCACACGGGGTACTTTTGCCCCTCTCCCGTCTAAACCAAGAGAGAGGAGAAACGGAGAAGAGCAGGACACTTTTTAAAGTCTCTCCCCCATTCTTCGTGAAAATGGCACGCGGTAAAGTCCTCCTTGTTCTTTCTATAGAAACAGCCGCCTACATTTCCAAACTTCACTGACAAAAAGTTTTCCCGGTTCAGCCTCACCCCCTCCCAGCTGACTCCGGGGAGCTCAGACAGGGAACGCACAAAGCAGAGAAGCAGCTGCAGCCTCGACCAATTATGGTGCTAAATTACCAAGCCAAAGGCACTCAAAGAAAGACGGGGAGATGGACACACACACACACACACACACACACACACACACACACACACACACACACAGAAAGATGCAGAAACAGAGACGGTGAGAGGAGGAGGCATGCACTTCTGGTACAACGGGAATCCGAACTCACCATGGATGAATAGGTGTGGACTAACATCTGGAAAAAAAATGCCTGGTTACTGCTCAAAATAACAATGAATTTTCAAAAAATAAAAAAAATCAAGGAGTCCAGCAGAGAAGCAAGCTGGACACAGGAGCTGAGCTTGAGATGTTTCCAGGACAAGCCATCAAAAAAAAAAAAAAAATCCCCCCCCCCTCCAAGAAGATTGGAGGTGCCTGTCACAGACAGGCAGACATGCTGATCCGTCTCTCACTGTCTTTTTGGCCTCTTTTCTTCTGGGGGTTCTTTGGGGCTCCAGAAACAGTCCTCTTCCACCCGAAGCTGGGCTCAGACTGCTCAGGCGCCCCTTCCTCCCTCCGCTTGCCTACACCGCCTCATAATAATTGATATTCATGACTATTAATATTACACGAGTACTTTAAAGGGAGAATGGAGGACAAATGGAGCGTGAAGCAGCAGCGAGCTCAGAGCTCCACCACTATTGTAAATGACGTTCATTCAGTGGAGAATTACTAGATGTAATCAGACAAGGGGGCTGGCGGAGGCAGACTGGGGGAAAAGTTGAGCAGGAAAGAGGCAGAACTTCAATTAACTGAGCGGGGACGCTCTCTTGCTCTTGTAAGGCAGCCTCTGCTCTTTGGATTCGGCAGTGTGGAGAAGCAAGTGCTGGGGCCTCCCAGAGAATGTAGGTGTTCTTGAATATAGAGGAAGACTTTCCCAACAGGGAGGAGGTGGTTGCCCTGGGTGCTTGGTGTGCAGATTAAAAAAAAGCAAACTAGAAAGGCACTGCCTGGTTATCTGGAGGGGGAGAGAAAAGTAAAATGGGTGGGCCTGTTTGTTGATGCGTGTTTACTGAGAGCTACACTTTTTTTTTTCTGAATGCAGAAGATCAAGTTGTTTTTGTTTGTTTGTTTGTTTGTTTTGAAAGTCCTAGAGATGGGGACTTTTTGAACACAGTGCAGCCTTTTTCACTTTAGTGCTTACAGCCTGCAATTTTTTAAAAACAAACTAGATTTTAAAAATATATATGTGATCGGCCTTCAAGCACACTAAACGTATCCTTTCTAGGCAAAGCCAGGGGCAACAGAAAAATCTTTTGGGATGTATCAGGAACCCGTTCGACTGGCCTGACTGCCATTTCTGTTAAACTTCAACCGTAGTTCAGACTGAAACAGGCTCCTTCCACCAAGCTCTGTGCGGGTTCTGGGGCTTTCCAGCTGAAAATTTAGGCAGCCAGGAACAAGTCACTCTCTCCTCCCTCCCCGGAGCCTGCTCTCCTCTCCTCCCTTTCCTACCCCCTCTTCTGGTCCTTCTTTCACCCTCCCTCCTTCTCTTTCCCTCTCCCCCTCTCTTTTCTTCTCTCCCTCCCCATTTCTCTTTTCCCTTCCCACTTTTACTCTTGCCCACTCCTTTTCCCCCTCGCCCTTCCTCATTTCCCATTTAGCCGTTTATTTTTTCATAAGCAAAAAACTAACATCATCCTGATTAGTATGATCCGTCTACGTATACCCAGAGCTATTTTCACCGCGGCCCCAGCTCCGCCAGAGCTACGTTTACGATGGGCGATGCATTCTTTAGGATAGTTAAACGCCCTGGACTTGAACATAATCCCGCCTGTTAGGAATAAAAGGACGCCGAACTGAATCCCACCAGGCAGGGAGGCGCGGTTCCTCAGTACACTACCACAAAGAGGAAGGCGAAACCTAAGGTCACCCCGGAAAAGAAGAAAATCACTCTCTCTCTCTCTCTCTCTCTCTCTCTCTCTCTCTCTCTCTCTCTCTCTCTCTCTCTCTCTCTCTCCTCTCCGCCTCTCATCCTCCACTTTCCTGTCTCTCATTTCCTTCTTTTCTTCTACCTCCCCCCCTTCTTTTTCACTTTCCCATTACTTCTAACTAATTGAGGCCGTAGGAATGGCATATCTGGGGGACACTGGGCACTGGCTCTAGGAGCTCTTGCCAGGAAACCTAAGAGGAGTCGCGGCCACTCAGCGGACCCAACTAAGAGTGGTGGGGACGGAAGGAGCTGGCGCATGCCTCCGGATTCCCCTTAGCTGAGCAAGGCGAACTCCCGCGGAGCTGTCGCTAGTCGTCCCAACACCAACTCAGGGTTCAGATTTCTTTCCGGACCGGTTACCAAGTCTGGGCTGTCCACCTCCTCCCGTTGGTCCAGCCTGGTGCTGCCGGCACTGGTAGCCTTCGGCTTTCCAACTTTCCCCTATCATCTCTCGCCTCTGCCTCCCTCTTCACTAACTCCCTTTCGCTTTCTTTTTTTCTGATCCTCTGATTTCGCGAAGCTTCAGAGTCTGTCTTCCCTCTCTCGACATCCCCTTGAGCCTTACTTTCCTTTCCTCTTGAGCTTAGCTCCCCAGCTCCCGGAATGTGGCGTGGGATCCCGCATCTATCCCCAGCCGGGCCGCTTCGGCTCGTCTGCGAGCTGCAAGGTCAGCGGGACAGCCTCGCTCGACGCGGACTCGGGGAAAGACCGCTGGAGTCTGAGAAGGCGAAGGGCAAAGCACAGGAGGGACGCGCTTGCCTGGGGACCGGTAGCCGGGAGCACGAAGTGTGGGCAGACTTCGTTAAAAATACCCACACGCTGGCGGCTGCCATCTCTGCTTGAAACCACTGACCCGCAAAGAAACAAAACACGAGAAAAGAAAAATAACAAACAGCGCTCTCTCCCCATACTGTACTGGATTTGTTCATACAGACGTCCTTCCCCCCTCGGTCTCCCTAGATATCTATCCTCTACCTGCGTATGTTACGGATTTCAAAAAATTTTATTAAAAGTTAAAAAAAAGCAAAAATTAAAGTCCGAGTCGGCGGGAGGCTTAAAAACCCGATTCTCTCCCATACTCAAAACGATTGGAGATTGTTTTTCCCTGACTGCTTAAATTCTGTGGCTCCACGTTACCCACCAGAGCCTACAAGGGGGGAGGAGAGAGCCGGAGAGAAAGAAAAAGAAAAAGAAAAAGAAAAATAGCTCCTAAATTAAACTTGTCACAGTCCAACCTTAGAAGTTCCCTTTCTGGAGAGCGGAGTCTCCTAGAGCCAGCCTTAGAAAACTTAAAGAAACCTCAGAAACCCAACCGGAAATCTATGAGTAAATAGCTTAAAATATATCAGCTGGGGTGTCAAAGAAGCTCCAGTTTTCCATCTCCAAAGCTCTAAAAAGCATCTGGGGTGTTCGCTCACCTCATAGATGTCTTCGTACTTGACATTCTCCACGAGTTTCCAGAGCATGATGGCAGCCTGGTCTCTAGGAGGTGAGTGCATTCATGTGAGGAGCAGATGTCTGGTTTCTCAGGACTCCGCTGTCTGTAATGATCCATCTATAATTGGAAGTGGGGGATACACACCAAATCCGACGCTCCTCTCCCATCGCAACTTATATCTGTTGTCTCAAACAATAGGCTGGAGAACTAAGCCTCAGCAGACAGAAAAACATTATTGCACACAGGACTTAGATACAACGCGCACGCACGCACACACACACACACACACACACAGACACACATGCACGCACACACACACATGCACACATATATATTATAAAAAATCATAAACACGAATTTATACGCAGATACCACATTAGTTACATAAACACCTCTGGGTCACAGAATCCACAGAGTAACCGTGCGTTTAAAGGGAATATAGTTGTTCGAAAAACAAGTAATATAAATAGATACGTTAGAAATCTCTTTTGAAAATGGCGAATCATTGCAGTCACTAACTAAAGTGTTTTAATAATTGACAGTGAGAAACTAGGGACATCAGTCCCCAAATTTTCTACATAGATTTTTAAAAAGGGGGCCCATTACTGAGATTTTAAAACACAGTTTTCCTATTCTTGTATGTTTAGGAGAGCATTTAAAAAAACAACACCCCTAGATCTTTGGACTTTACGAGTCATTTTCCTCTACTGATGTAACTTTAAAAAGTATCATTGGGGAAGAACAACAAAACTCTTCACCACAATGATTTCTGATATTTTGAACATTTTGCGTAACACATTTGGAAACTTGAGTAGCTTGTGGACCGTGCAATCTATATTGCTTGTTGCTTTACGGATGGTTGTGTAGTTTTAGTGGCTCCTTGGTATCTTTCTGCTTGCCTGGAGTCTCCATTTTATTAAGTTTTTTTTTCCCTTCACACGTTGGAAACAACAAAGCTCACAATGTTAATTTTGAGACCTTTATCAGGGGTATAGAACATTTTGTACTTGGGGTTGTCTGTAACTTGAGATTTTAATCTGGTAGATTTAAGACATGGACATCCAAATTTTCAAGAAGGTTTAAGCTTTATCCTGCTTAAGGAGACAGTGGGAGACGTACAAGAGTAAATATTGTTTGGCCATTTTGCTTTGAGATAGATTTTCTTTAGAATATGTGATTTGTGAAGTTTAATTTTTTAAAAAAATATTTTCAAAAGCATAAATAACAACAAGTACAAAGTTTAGCCGTTAACCTAACCTCAAATGGGCACCCTGTAAGACACAGGATTTTTTTTTTTAATTTCATGAGGAATTCTATATTCACTATCTCCCTCTCCTCCTCCTTCCCACCCTCTTTCTGGGTTCAGAAGGTTCCCTGGAGCCAGTAGGGAGGCACTGAAGAAGATCTTGGCCCCTGGGGCAGAAAATAAATGACAAGAGGGAATGAGAAGGGTTGGGGTAATTTGGGGTGGAAGTTATTAAACCCGATGAGGGTGAATCTGTAAAGGGATTGCCTTTAAACCCAGGACTCCTGTGCACTCTAGAGCTCCAGCAGGGTCGGAGGCTCCGCGAGCAGTGGGAAGACTCCAGATAGACTAGGAAGACAGCGTTTCCTAAGAGCCAAGCTGAAGACTCCTACCTCGCACAACGAACAACCCTGTAGATATCTATTATTGTTGTTTTCATCATTATTAATTTACCGTAAGTCAAATGAAGGAAATGCAGGGTGCTTCCGTCAGAACTTGAGAAATACATCTTTTTCTCTATCGCCTGTTGGATTTCTTTCTCCCTTTTCCTTTCCTCCTTCCAACCCTTCCCTCCCTTCCTCCTCTCTCTCTCTCTCTCCCTTCTTTCCTTCTTTCTCTTTCGCTCTTCTCCTTCTGTTCTTTCCTTCGCTCCAATTCTCTTCTCCGTTCCTCCCCTTCTTCCTTCTATTAAAAAGAAAATAATCTTAAACCACACAGAACCAAGCTGGTCTTCCAGCGTCAGCAGATACGTCTCCTTTCGCCACCAGAGTTGGTTGGGAGACAGGAAATCATGTGGATTCCACACTCTTTCACTAAGCCAGCCTCTGCTTGATTATTTGAAAGATAAGTGTTATAGATTTGGAAATTAAAATTCTCCATACAAAGTTATCAACAAGATAGTTCTCATCCCTCTTTCTAATTTTTAACTGCTAGGTTTTAACTGTCTAAAGATAACCTTATCCCAAACCAAAATGAATTCGGCAAAAACTTCCTTTTTTTCCCCTCTAAATGCGTTTATTTATGGTTTAAATCACTTTTGGGCATGTCATTGATTAATCTGAGATAAACTCTAACGTTTAATAAAACCAAATCAAACTGAAGGTTTAATTTTACATATAAAACTACTTAAATAGGTAATATAGTGTGCCAGCCTGACTGTTTTGAAGCCTCATTTATGTAGAATTTCAAATTTTCACTTGTGTTTTCTTAAATCTTTGTATTAGATATTTTAAAAAGTAGGAATGTACTTGGTATTTGTTATAAATACTGAAATACTTTACAAAACATTAAAAATTAGCCCTGCTTTACTAAGAACAAAACAAACCTAAAATATCTGCGCACATACATACATGGGTAACTATCTGAAGAAACGCATAACGATAATAGAAATCCTTGTTAATTCTGCAATGTGGCATTTTGTGAAGAATTCCAGCTATTTCACCACAAATCTTTCCCAGGGACAGTTCCTTCCTTCATTGAACGGGCAACAGCGCCCTCTGTAGGAATTTTGAAGACTCAAACGACGACTAGTCGCTCAATTTCCTTTTTTTTAAAGCATCCCTCCCCTTTCTTGGTTCTTGAAAACGAGTTATGACTAAGAGAGTTTTGACCATCTAACTCTTACCACACCCATTAACTTTAGAAATACTCTAAAACGTTTTAGCACTTCAAAAATGTACAAACTAATCGAACCTCTGAAGAAAAGTTTCCTAAATGTAGAGCTTTCTCTTGCCCACATTCTATTTAATTTAGCATTATCTCCTATTCACACCTCTCAAAAAATTCTCTCACAAATTCAGGCAAACACAAATGCGGAGGTGAGGCAAGGTTTGGAATTTCTCCGGGAAACTGTGTAAAACGGGCATTCTCATCGATATATTTATTTTTCTGGGCACACAGGCTCAGGTGGGTAGGAGCGCTCTGGAGATAACCTGGACCAGCACACCCACACGTTTTCTCTTATGTGCATTTACTGCAGTTTATTACTGCAAAGCGGTGAGTTATTAACCCCACCCCCTTTCAGCCACATATAAAGGTAATGTTGTCCAATAAACGTTAAGAACTGGAGCTGCAAAGCAAACTCACCTAGCATGGAGACCTCTGCTGGCAGTTTTTGGAATAGGTTTGTGACATTTCCAAATGTCTCTTGAATCCCTATCAACTTTTAGTCCTCTTGTTCATTTCTTCCTTTTAAAAATCTAATCACTACTTGTCTAATCTCTTTTACTACAACCGTACCTCACATTGGCTCTCTTGTAGGTTGTCTGCTGGACCCTTTAATCACCTCTTCCTATTACGTTATCTTATCCTTATTCTCTTTTTTTATCTTCTCTAAATACAAAAACAATAAAAGAAGAAAATACAACACCTTGAAACTAGTATAAGTGTGCTAAGATTAAACCCTGACATCTCTCATTCCAGAATAAAACATATTTAACATCCCGAAGTCCTATGTATTAAGCTATAACTTGGGGTTTGTTGCAATTCAATTAATGTTTATTGATGAACTATTTACCTGTAAACAACATTGCATACGATTTAAATTTTTGTCACAGTCCCAAAATACTTATCTGAGTCTCAGGAAAGCACTGGTCCCTGCCAGCTTGGTGAAATGAACATGGGTGTTTTTAACTTTGGGTCTCAGGAAAGCAATGGTTCCCGCCATTTTGGTGCAGTGGACATGTGTGTTTCTAACTTTGGTTTTCCCAGCATATACTTAACACACACACACCACAGCCTAGTGATGCTTAATTCCTTCGGAAATCAGAAAGAGAATAATTTTGAATTATTTAGGTTTTCCAGGATTACTTTTTCTTTTCTTTTTGGTTTTTCGAGACAGGGTTTCTCTGTGTAGCCCTGGCTGTCCTGGAACTCACTCTGTAGACCAGGCTGGCCTCGATCAGAAATCCGCCTGACTCTGCCTCCCAAGTGCTGAGATTAAAGGCATGCGCCACCACTGCCCGGCCCCAGGATTACTTTTATCCTGAATTTACTAATAGACAAAGGAGAAAAATAAAAAAATATATATAAAAATTAAGAGAAGAAAAGAAAGAAGGAAGGAAAAGAGGCAAGAAAGAAGGAAGAAAGAAAAAAGAGAGAAAGAAGACAGGAAGAAAGCAAGCAAGAAAAAGAGAAAGAAGAAAAAAGAAAGAAAGAGAGAAAGAAAGAGAGAAGGAAAGAGAGAAAGAAAGAAAAAAAGAGAAAGAGAGAAAGAGAGAGAAAGAGAGAAAAAAAGACCGGGTGTGGTGATAGACACCTTTAATACCACACTCAGGAGATAGAGTCGGCTGACTTTATAAATTTGAGTCCAGTCTGGTCTACACAGTGAGTTAAAGAACAACTGGGGTGACAGAGAAAGAAAGACTCTCTCTTGGGGTGATGGAGAGAGACCCTATCTGGAGGAGAAAGAGAATCCTTTGCATGGGTCAACATTATCCAATCCCGATGGACCATTTACCCATCTCAAGGATTGCTCTCGGAACCCTAAATAAGACAGGATAACACCTTGTGCTGCTATGACAGCATGACTGTTCGCTACTCTACCACAATTCCATCGTGAAATCTTCAATGATCATATCTTTTAGCCAGTTCTTACTGCATGTTTTTTAAAAAAATAAATTTTGAAAAATTACTTCTGAGTGAGAGAAAATTCCATATAAGCCTTTGCTTCTCAGGTCTACATCACTTTGATATTACAGAAAGCAGACCCCATGCGCTTTCTGTGATTTGGGCATGAGGAAGCAAAATGGGAGGAAGGTATTTGTATGAGATTGTTTCTAAATACTAAATTTTGCTCAAAATGAGATCTAGGCCAACCAGGGTTAAGTAATGAGACCCTTTCTCAATAGAATAAAATATAAAATGGAAATCAGGTGGAGTTATCTCTAGATTAATATTTTATGGTTGTAAGATAGAGGCAAATATTATAAAGAATGTATTTCTTACCTGATCCATAATACTTAGTCAATACTTCCTTTGTGAACTTTTTTTTTTCCTTAAAAAAAAAAAAAAACGTTCTAGTTATATAGTCCATGCTAGCTGAGAAGCTGAAATCCTACTACCTCG